AAATAGGTTATTTGTGAACAGAAATTTGAAGAAAATAAGTGGCATAGCTTAAGAGTGGGAGGCAGTAAAAATAAGCCTATCCTCTGCAACAGCAATGAATGTTGGAAGAAGGAAGTCACATAGGGTGGCAGGTTGATTAGCTTATGTGGAAAACAAGGTTTGTGCTGGGAAATGACTCAAATTGAAGTGAGATGGGGATGGGTGGGTAAAGCATTCTAAATGTTGGGTTGAGGAGTTTGCAGTGAATAAAAAAACCAATTTAGAGTTTAATAGAATTTTAGAGTAGGATGATCCTTTAGTCATACTTCTCTTTCAGAGAAAACTAACCACTGAGTTTATTCACCATTAGTGGTATTGCCACTTGGGATTAAAGCCCAATATTTCCTGTTTTCAGTGTTCTTTTTATGTACCCTGCTACTCTGCAAAATGACACCCTATTGACCAGGAGCAGGAGAAACATGAATACAGTGATAATTTGGAATACTTTGTTAAGGAATGTCTACTTTAAATACTAAGAAAGCAGTCACTTCCCCTTTCTTCTGCCTCCCACTCCACAGCCTCTGATTTTATGAAAGCCAGTCACGCTCCAGCCATTTCATTGCCCAGCCTCTCCCTCTGTGGGTGTGGGTCTGTGACATCATTTCTGCCACACAACAGGAGCAGGATCACCAGCATGTAGCTCAAGCTCCAACTCCCTTTTCCATAGGCTACTTTATCACCAAGCTTGGTCTCAGAGCAACTTCCTTTAAAGCCTCTCAAATGTATAAACACTCCTTCAACGTCTAGAAACCTCAGCCCACTTATGCCGCCGCCTCATTGCCACAGTGAGGATCCTCTTACTGACATCACCCAGAAAATACTGGCTGGAAACTGTGATGGAATTTATGGCGCCTATTCTACTGTGAACAGAAGAGGATTAGACCAAAGAGTGTAAGGATTTTTAAAGAGTTCATTTGACTCTGGCACCTGCTGATCTGTTTCTCAGAGTATGTATTTGCTGGAGGGGAAGAATAGGGATAGCATAGTTAGAATCAGTTCCAACATTTCTTTCTCACGTCTCTAAGCATAGGCTGGGAAGCTAGCTCAGCCTCCACCACAGATTCACAAGGTCACTCCTCCAGTCCATCTAAATCTCATGTTTTAGGGAGAGATGAAATGTGGTCGTCCTGTAGACTCTCCTTCAGTGCCAGGGCACCACGTATGCCCTCTAGAATAGAGGGAGGCTGAAGAGGAGAAGATAACCTTTCCTCAGTTCTCTGCAACCAGCCTTGACACTGTCTCAGATATGTGACTCCTGTCCCCAGGATCTTTTGTCCCCGAGGACAGATAGCCATTCCTAGGGATGTTAAAGTTTCTCTAGGCACCTTTAATCTTCTGAATTCAGGTTGAAACTTCATGGTTCGAAAGCTCTAGAAACATCAAGAAGTTTCATATTTATTATAGATATCTTGGTTTGCCAAATAAACTTGAAAAACTATCAGTGTCTAATATTAAGCAGTCTGATTATTCCTGTGGCCTCAACTGACCTCACTGTAGTAGACTGAATGCTGGTCTCCAAAAAGACCTAATCACATCCTAACTTTGGTACCTGTGAATGTGACTTTATTTGGAAAAAGTGCCCTTGAAGATGGAATTGAGATCAGGAGCTCTAGATGAGATCATACTGAGTTAATTGGGTGGACCTTAAATCCAGTAAGTGTCCTTATGAGAAGAGAAGAATACAGACAGTAGAGCAGAAACACAGAGCATATGTGAAGGTGAAAGTGGAGACTGGAGTTATGCAACTATAAGCCAGGGAGCACCAATGATTACCTAGAGGCACCAAATGCTAAACAGGCAAAATAGGATTCTCCCATAGAGCCCTCAGAGGCCTGGCCAACACTTTGATTTTGAATTTCTGGTTTTTAGAACCATGAGAAAATAAAATTCTACTGGTCCAAGTCACCAAGTTCGGGGTCATTTGTTATGGCAACACTAGGAAAACTAATATACCGGCATACAGAGACGTGGAGTAGGTTGATAGTGACTGTCACCTGCCTTTCTTGCCCAGGTCTCAACTAACCTGGCCCTAAAGAGAGCAAAGGTGATGTCATTTGAAACCTTGCAGCCAAACACCTTCTCCCATCATTCTTGGTTTCACCTCAAAATAGAATCTCTTGCAGTTACTCTTTCCCATACTTTAATCCCCAGTGGATGCGTACTGCTTTTGCTTTAACCAAGCTTCCATTTCTCCACATCCTCCAAACAGAACTGGCCATGTAAAATTTGTGGGGCCAAATGCATACTGAAAATGTGGCATCACTTGTTGAAAATTATTGAAATTTCAAGGCAGGGGCAGCAGTGTATTAAGCCAAGTATGGGGTGTTCTTAAAAGTAGTGCCTTGTGCTACCCCACAGGTTGCACACCCATGAGGTTACTTGCCCCCAAAATGTATCCACTATGACCTTCAAGAATACTTGAAATATCCCACCTTTACAATCCACTAATACTCTGCTTCTCGCATTAGGTGAAAATCAGCTTTCTCCTGGGAATAGTGGGTCTCCTCAGTGTAGAATGCTTATTATCTCACTGTAGGACTGTGGGAGTCTGTAATCTTGTAGATCTCCGGTATTGCCTCTGAACTGTGTACCACGTCTTATATACACGCCCTTGATCCATTTAGGCTCAGCTCCATGGACATGTACCTTCTGCCTCAACTCTACACAGCTATCCATTCAGTTCCAGATCATTCTACCACATTCATGGATGTCTTTGGTATCTTCCTCTATCTCATGGCCTCACTGTTAGTGACTCCAATGTCTGTGTGAATAGCCTTTTCATTGCCTTAGTGTCCAATTTCTTGATCTTCACTTTATGTTAGGCAGCCCCACCCACCCAGTTCTTCCATAAACCATGCCATCATGCTCCTACTAAAACTTGAAGATAACTATTCCATCTTAATTACAATTCTCATTTTTCTCTCTTTCTCATATGATCGAGATTTGTAGTTCTTTAATTTCCTTTTCTCTTCCCTTTTGTCTTCACTATTTTCCTAGGTAATCTTAACTTCATCACCTGTCCTTCAACCATTCTCTTAAAAACAGCAGCCAAGCTTTCTCTTTGCATTTCTATCAGACCACTTGACAAAACCCCGAAGTTGGATTAGTTGAACATTCTGCACTTAGAGTCATATATTTTACACAAATTCACACGATTGTATGGAATTACTGCTACCAGCAATGGACTCAGAAGTAGTTCTTGGGACTTATGTTCAGGTTCTCTTTAGAATTCCCAACACCAGCTGCTGAGAACCTTTAGGTTGTTTACATGATTGCATCATATCCCTTACTTGCTTAGTAGAAATGAGAGACAATCAAAAATCTTCAATCCACCCTGACTGATGTGGCTCCGTTGCAATTTCCCTCCAGGAAATTGAAGGGTCAGGTTGCCAGTTTGATTCCCAGTGGAGGCACATGCCTGGGCTGTGGGTTCAGTGAGGTGGGGCAGGGAGGCTCTAGTCTCTCGTCTGGGTGGTATGAAATCAGTGTTTCTCTCTCACATCAATGTTTCTCCTCTTCTCTTTCTCCCTCCCTTCTCCTTCTCTAAATAAATAAAATCTAAAAAAACCCTTCAATCTTCTATGAATAAACAAAAGCATTATATAAATACTGTTTTAAGTTGTTATTTTGTCTTAATTGAAGGAAATGAGCTTATAGCTGTTCATTTACAAAATTTCTTATTAAGCCCCTAGCTGTACAGGTACTACTCTGGGTCCTGAATGTAAAGCCTTCATGGAGAATGCATTCAAATTGTTCTGAAGATTTCAAACATGTAACTTAAAAACATTATTACTGAGGGCTAATGATTTTATCAAATTTACCCCAAAATATAGGTTTTATGAAACAAATTTTGGGAGCGTAAAAACACAGTGGCAGAATCATAAAAATCCAGTCATGGTAGCATAATCATATATCCAAACATTTTGGCATTACTCTCTTCTGTAGGCTCTCTAAAATACATAGACCTTAGAATAATTGGCCTTAGGTAATATTATATATTATTATGTAATAAAATAATAATATGCCTTAGGAATAATACCCAAGAAGTTTTCAAGTCACACTAAAAATCCAAATAACTCTCAATTTCTTTAATTAGTATCTCTATGACCACACAACTGTTTTTAGAAAATAAAATGCACTGGCCAGAATTAAGAAAAATGACAAGCTTTATCAACACGGTGTAAGTTAAAAAATGTCAATCAACCTTAAAGTCAGAAAGACTTAAGTCAAAAAACTGATTTGGCATCTTTCTAGGTAGTTCAACCTTATTCAGGTTACATAACCCTGATAGGCCTCAATTTATTCTGTGAAAATAGAGATAATTATTACTACATTGTGAGCATGGGGATATTGCATAAGTTAAAGAACCTGATTGTAGCACTCAGTATTTTATACTGAAATAGTATTTTATACAAAATATTTACTTAATTATATTTTTATACAAAATATTTACTTAATTATATTTTTACCTCTCACATAGCCATTGCCTAAAAAAGAATTTGGAAGTAGTAGCGAAGTTGCAGGTATCTAGACATTGAATAGGAAGCCAGAACACAGCGTCAGTGAGCGTAGGTTGTTTAGAAGACTTTGAACACTAATAATGACTTTCAGGAAACCAGAGATCTCAGGAATTCAGTGAAGACAAACCATCTTTTCAGGAAGCAAAGAGCACCTTAAATTTTGCATTAGTATCTCACCCATTTAATATGGGGCTTAAAGGACACAATGAAACCTTAGTGATAAGAACCTCATTTTTCTTGTGAGTACCTAACATTGTTTTCCGCTTTGCTTTGCCTAAAAGTTGCCAGCATTGCACGTTGATTCCCAATCTGTTAATAAACGGGAAAACCCAGATTCCGGGTACAGATAAGAAAACTATGTAATTCCTACCTTCTCCAAACAGCTAGATCAAAGTGCAACCTTATGACTCTTGGAGCACAAAAGCGCGGGGTGAGCACACACATAAGTCAGCAGGAGAAGTTGCAGTTCGGGAACAGGGAGAGAAGCGAAGTTCCCGTATTCACATCAAGCAAATTCTTGACAGAAGCTGAACCGTCACACAGGGATGAGCAAGGATGATCAATTGGCTGTTAACGCGCACGCCAACGTGTAAGAGCTACCGTGGCACTTGCCGAGAGAGCTCCACGGAGACCCGGGCTGCACCAGGAGCCGGACACCGCGCTCTAGGAGCTCGGGGGCGGGTCCCAGCGGCTGCTTCCTCCGCCCTCGGAGTCGCAGCCACCGCTTGGCTGCACCTCAGCCCTACAGTTCAGACTCCGCCGCATCCCTCTGGACTGTAGAGGCGGCAGCGAGCTAGAGCCCGCGTCCCAGCTCCCGGCCACAGAGAAGCTGGGCGAGCCCCAGCGCAGGAGGACACCTGGCCCAGGCACGGCGGGAAGCTCTGCGCGCGGCTGGTACGTACCTGGTGGAGGGGCGGCGGGAGTGGGTGTTGACCGTGTGAGAATGGACGGAAGGGACTTGGACAGTCGGGGGAGACTGAACCAGCGAATATGTGGTACGTGCAACTTCCCCATATTACGCCCAGTCGGCAAGGGGTTGGGGGGAGCTTTTCGAAGCGGATGCCCCCCTTCACTAGAGTGATCGCATTATTCACATGCAAACTAGGATACTTTTAAAATGAACTGGGTGGCTCTGGTCAACGGACGTAACTGGGGAGGTCTGGCCACCTGCTTTTTGCTCACTCCGACCAGAAGGTGGATATTGGTGACCTGTCATAAGTTGCAGAGCCCTTCACCACTCACGCAGGCAGTGCCACGTCGTTTTGCTTGGGTTGCGCGTTCCCAGGCAGCCCTCCCGACCACCGGGTCAGCAGGACCTAAGTTCTCACCGGCTCTGCCAGCGTCGAGCTGAGTGGCTTTATCCAGGTCACCTCACCTCACCAGTACCATTTTTGTTTTTGGCATAAAATATGGGGATAATTAGACCGGGTGATCCCCACGATCCCTGGCAGCTATTGGATTTTACCGGAGCCTAGGACCCCGGCTATCGCCAGGGAGACATCCGAACGTTACGTGGTCTCCGGGCTTGGAGGGTGGAGGGCGAGAGTCCTGACCAGTGCGGCTGCTGCAACCCCCTGGGGAGCTCCTGACAGTGCCTTCTGAGTGTGGGAGGGGGGGATGTGCGGGAGATGAACCTTCGTTACCAGCTGTCCAGGCTGGGGTCCTTGCTGAGTGATGCTGAGATGGACCGGCAAGTCCCATCCTCGCAGAGCTTATCCTGCGCAGCACAGCTCCACTAGGTCCCTTTGGAAAAGCTCTTGGCTTGAGTGGGGGCTCACAGGAAACACTAAAAACAATATTAAGAAAGAAACCAAAAAACTGCAGGTGGTGTTATTAGTCAGAATATTGTACGGGACTGGAAAGTGGAGATTCGAGGCTGACGATCACTTAAACATTCACCTAAGGCGGTGGTGGGAAACACTAAAATTCATATTAATGATTTGGATATTGAAAAAGTATTGGATTAGATTTATTTTGAGTATTGAATTTCTCTTTGTATACATGTAGATTCAAAATCCCAGATACTTCTTTATTGACATTGCTACACATTAAAAAAATAGTCTGGGGTTTAATATTCAAAAGCTGAGAATTTAGATTATTAAAATGAGATCTGGTGGTCATAAGCTCACAGGAAGTAATGGGGTAGCTTTTTAATTAAGGTTGGTTAAGACTAGCATTTTAAAAACCCTCTTTTTTCCTGTTAGTACGTCCCCTGCTGGACATATCCCTCCACCGACATTATCTTTAATAAGTTTATTTTCAGAATAGGTGTTTTGGAAGACCAAGTGATTCAGTTTTGAAGCAAAGTATACTTTGGGAAAATTTTTTTTTGAAAAAAGTATTTAGTAATTCACTTTTTGGTTTTATCTTTACCAGAACTTTTTCAACAAAATATCAAAGGCTAATGGAATACCTTATGCAGGATATTTAAAAATGTATCAAATATCACTTTTGTTAAATAATTTTCTTTCCTCTTTAGTGAATTTTAAATTAAAATTTTAAATCAGAACTTTTTAGAAAGTTACTACTTTCAATGATTTTTTAAAAATTTTACCAAATTGTAAAATAATCACCATAATTCAGTTTTAAAACCTGGTCAAAGTCCAATACCACTGAACCAGGTGCATGTCTAAATAAGGTCATTTCAGGTTTTCCATTCATTTATACCATATGGATTTGATAGTGTGGAGATGGGGCCAGTCTACCACATGGAGGGGGAACTGTTTTTATCCATTTTTTTCCTGGAGCAGTGGGTGAAATTTTTCAGGGAAAAGGAATATTTTCATTACAGAGTAGATCTGTGTCAGCTTTCTGAGATGTTTGTGATTTTTGCCAAACAATATTAAACTGCAAGTAAAACCCAGCATAGGTAAGTCCATGTTTTGGGTTCTAGGTTTGAATGCTTTGAAATGCAACATAAACCTTTCAGTTTTAACTGCAAAAATGGGATGAAGCAGAATTTTTTTACTCACACATATTTATTTTCCCCAACTTTTTAAAAAAGTATCTTAATTTGTTTTCACCATTAATTACAACATTCTTTGCTCATACATAATTTTTTTTAAAAAGTTACATATTACGTGTATGTCCTGTTTTCCATTTAATGAATCATCTTAATATATTTTTCCTAGAAAATAATTATACTTTTAACAGCTGTATAGTATTCTATTAAATTTTAAACTAATCCCTATTGGTAAGTATGCACAATTTCTCCAAATTTGGTTTTATATACAACATCATAGTAGATATCTCTATTCATAATCTTTATATACTCTACACACCTATTTGGTTAATTTCTTTAAATAAATTTTCACAGAATTGCAAGGTGAGAACATATTCACTTTTTAAGGATTTTTGATACATGTGCTCGCTTCGGCAGCACATATACTAAAATTGGAACAATACAGAGAAGATTAGCATGGCCCCTGAGCAAGGATGGCACACAAATTCGTGAAGCGTTCCATGTTTTTAATGAATGGATCAAAAAACTGTGGTACATTTACACAATGGAATTCTATGCAGCAGAAAGAAAGAAGGAGCTCCTACCCTTTGCAACAGCTTGGATGGAGCTGGAAAGCATTATGCTAAGCGAAATAAGCCAGGCAGTGAAAGACAAATACCATATGATCTCACCTTTAACAGGAACCTAAACAACAAAACAAAGAAACAAGCAAAATATAACCAAAGACACTGAAATAGAGGACAGGCTGACAGTGACCACAGGGGAAAGAAGAGGGAATTTCAGGGGACAATGGGGAGGGTTTACAGGAACAAATTTAAAGGACACATGGACAAAAACTAGGGGGAGGGTGGTAATGGGAGGGAAGTGGAGAGGGTTGGGAGGGTGGGCTGGATTGGGAGTAAAAGGGAGAAAACTGTACTTGAACAATGATTAAAATTAAAAAAAGATTTTTGATACATTCTAAATTTTTTTCAGAAATGTAATAGCAATTTCTATGCTAAATAACATTTTTTACTAACATACAGTTTCAAATATTAAAAATTTAGAAATTAGTGAGAAATGGTAGTTCATATTTGTATTTCTTTGATTGCTAGTGAGGCTGAATATTTTTTGTTGGCCAAAATGTTTAATAGATACTTTAGATTTATTTCTATGAATTCCTTTTTTTGTATCTTTTTGCTTATTTTTAATCCTTTTTCGTCTGCTTCAAGAGCTTTTTATTCATAAGGATATTAACTCTGTGTATCTGTTGTGTTACAATTTTTTAATCAGTTTCTTTCTTTTTTTCTTTTTTGCCATCGACTACTTGGTGAACATTGCTTTGTAGAATACTTTCATTTTACGGGTCAAAACTGCTATCAATTTCTTCTCTCATTCTGATTTTGTTACTCTCAAGAAGGACTTTCCCACTGGTAAAAAAGTCCAACTACACTTCTTATAGTACTTTTGATGTCTTCTCTTATTTGAAATTTTTATCCTTTGAAAGTTATTTTAGTAGGGAGCCTAACTTTATAATTGTTATTTTTTCATGGCTAGTCTTCTCTTAAATCCTTTCGTTCTGTAATTGATTCCTTCTCCACTGGTTTGAAATACTATCCTGTGCCCCTCCCCACTGCACCTCCTAAGAGTCAAACTTCCTTATAGCTGCTCCTACCATTGGGAAGACCCACAGACTTTCCACCCACACCCTCGCCTGGCTGCCTACGCGTGACGCCTAACTGCAGCCTCTCTGACCGCCTCCCTAAGCTGCCTTGAGACACACCTGTCCCTCACATGTCAGCCATAAAAAGTATCCAGGTAAAAAGTATCCAGATTTCACATTACAGCTGTGGGCTCTTCCTGAATTCTCACATTACCAATTTAGAAACATATCATTTTGTTGGCTCTTAAAAACATAATTTTGTAATGCTTTAATTTTCTGTTTTTATCATTTGTCTACTTATTTTTTTTTCCTCTTTGCCTTAAAATTTTATCATGCGTTGTTCTGTCTCTTTCTCACCTAATTTGTTTTTATTCTTTCTTCAAAATCATTCCATAGTGCTCTCCGGAACACCTATTCAATCACAATAAACTCCTTTAAACCTTCACTTTTTTTCCTGGCCCTGAAACTTGACTCTCCCCTGAATATCATGGTTCTGGAATCTTAGGGTAGGGAGGTGGGTCACATGCCCTATTATCCCACCTCCACACCATTAGTTCTCCACTGTCTTATACTCACCCCTGCTCTCTCAGCCATCTGGCTATGCTATCCTCCACCATTGCTCATTCCTATTATCTGCTCACCATCTGAATAAGTCTCTCCTTCATTGAACACTCCAGCAACTAATATGCAGTCATCTTCTCCTGTCCTCAGTCTGGCTAACTTCATATTTACATCCAATACACCTTCTCAGTTATGTCCATGACTCACGCAGTGACCTTCTCTTTTACTCCTTACCAAGCCACTTTTGGAGACACACCCTGGGCTTGCTATCCTGTGAAATTGTTCCTTCCTAAAATTGTGAATTCAGAAACTCTCTGGGCATAGCACCTATATTCTTTTTTTTTACATTAATCCAGAAATTCATATCTATGCTTGTTCATTGGGATGGCCAATAACTTGACCTTCTGTTTTCATTCTCCATGCTCTTATTGCTTGGAGTCAGATATGTCTCAGTGCTTTCTATTTCTATCAGCTCAAGCCAATGGAGAACCTAAGAATTCTATGTGCTTCTTGCTAGACTCTTACCACTCTCTTCCCTACAACTACAGCAACCTCAGTCTCACTACCACCTGCCTGGAGTCCTCCATGACCTTATGACCCCTATCTTCTTTTTTATGCAAATTGTTGCAAAATCCTTGTACTTCCAAGGAGCATGGTCAACTGTTCTGGTTTTCCTGAGACTGAGAGATTTTTTCAGAATGCCACATGGAGTAAGCCCTTGACATAAAG